CGGGGCGTTGTGGGGCGCGGGGCGGATTGGCGCGCCTGGGAAGGCCCGCACCTGACTCTCGCCGGATCAATAGTCGGGGGCGCAAGATGGCGGCGCGCCCACAACTGGACTGGGAAAGGAGGCAGCTGCCTAAGCAGAATCAGATGGGTGGGGAAATGTATTTGCATTGTTCTGTCGAGCGTAGAGAGGAAAAAAGCGCAAGTCATTAGTCTTAAATATTTTCTTTAAGTTTATTCGAAGGAGAGGAATTTTTGTCTCTCACGGAACTTACATAAAATTTTGACTCGTATGGTCCAGGTTTTCGTAACAGTTATTTCAATGAAGTAGTAGACATTTTTCATCAGGTCGCACTTACAGCATAGAAAAATATCAACATATCAATTGGCCAACGGGGAAGACAGTCTAAACGTTGAGCTAGAATTACATACTTTTATCAATCAAAGTTTGTGAAGGCTTAATTCAGTGCATGCCTTTTCATATTTTTACTTGTAAAAGTCACAAGCATTGACAATTTATAATAAATACTAGAGTAATAAGACCTTAAAATACTTGTGCTTGTGCTGACGCCTGCCAATGCCACATCGTCGACCTTTGTTGTTTTTCTTTAGCACTGGCCACATCTTAATGAAAAATAAATAATCATTTAAATGAGTGATAATAACACACGAGTAGATTAAACTAAAATTACGCGTCAAACATCAAAATATCTCATTTGTTTTGTTTTTGTTTTCCCATTTCCTTGCAAAGTACGTGAACGTTCCTGGCGTTCCCAAAGTTAGGAACATCTTTGGCAATTTTTTCTCAGCCTCAACAAGTAATTATAGAAAACCATAGTCAGTCAATAGTGAATTACTACCAGATTATTCTTATTCGATTTTAAGCATATTACAGTTGTAAGTAAGGCTATGTCACGAGTAGCACATTTTTTCAAAAAAATTATACCGGTTGTTTTGGTACACGCACCAACCGGTGCGGGTGGGATTGTTGTGTACTCCTTATGGGCAAGGAGTACGCAAAGCCGCCCGCACCGGCGCGTGCACCGAAACAACCGGTAGGTATGCGTTCTAGAATCATGTTATGAAAAAACTATTGTCATGAAGAAAAACTATATGATTTAGGAAGCAGAGCTTGAGAGTACCTCGTAATTATAGACAAGCAGCTTTTAGCAAGTAGGCCCTACCTAGTTTTTGTTCATCTGATTTTTAAATGAAAGGATCTCAGAGATACTGATTTGCAAAATCAGGGCTCCGTAGCTTATCATAACACGAACGAATGTTCGTCAGTCAACACAACAAAACACAAGTCAAATTAATAGTTAAAGTAATCGATTTTGAAATATGTCCGATGTTAGTCGTAAACTCTGTGGAAAAAAGTTGGACATGTCGAATATCTAACTTTTTTCTAAAGGACTACATTAAAAGTTTCAAGTTATAACTTTAACTCTTAAAACAACGTTAAAGGCAGTTAATTAATAAGTTACGGAGCCCTGTGCAAAATTTACTAACTTGTTATAATGTCACTCTGACCAATACTTGGCCAGGCCAGATAACATCCTATCTTACTCAGCCCAAAACTAGTAACGAAATATATTACCCACGGTTTTATCCGGTTATTCATTATCTTTATCAGTTACTTTTATCACGAAGATTATTTTTTTCAAGGCAAACATCCTTGCATTTTGCAACGATTAAAGCGAAAACTCGCTGAATTAAGATCACCGGAGCAGTAGCCCACGACTATCGTTCTTTGGTTCGCAAAAAGTGCCGGTTTGGCAGGTGAACGCCGTGTGGTATAGCGCGCTACCGCCTCTCGAAGTGGAACTGGTACGAGTCCCAGGGCAGGGCAAGGTTTCCGATCGGCACGGTGTAGTCTCGGCCTTGGATAGGCAGTATCCGGTACTCGTTAAGCAGGTTGGCGATCGTGGCGAAGGAGACGTACTGTACCATCTTGTAGCCCATGCAAGATCGCCGGCCGCCGCCGAAGGGTAGGAAGTGTTCGGGTTTGGCGAGACGACCTTCGGGAGACACGAAGCGCTCGGGCATGAACTCCTCCGGCTTGGTCCATAGTGCGGGTGACATGTTGAGCTCGTAGTTGTTCAGGAAGATGAGGGTGTCCTTCTCCACCTTGTAGCCTGAAAGAAAGAAAAATCGTCTCGTTATTCTCAGGCCTTCAGGTAATCTTGCAGCGCCTACGCCTCCAAAGAGGGCAGGTTCTCATTCTGTACCTGCAATGCTGGAGTCTTGGTTGGCAACGTGCGGGACAATGGGCGAGGAGATGAGTCGGATGGCCTCCAGGACGACGCCCTCCGTGTAAGGCATGAGCGTGCGGTCGGCCAGGGTGACGGTCTTGCCCTTGGTGACGCCGGCGCGCACCGCCTCCTCGTGGACGCGGTCCTGGACCTCGGGGTGGGTGGCGACGTAACCGAGCACCTTGATGAGCAGGTTGCCGACTGCGGAGTGGCCGCCCACGATGTCCTCGAGCGCGAACATGGCCGTGTCCCAGGACATGGCCGGCTCCGCGTTGCCGCGCACGTGTCCGATCAGCTCCTCGACGTAGTCGTCCTTGGTGGCGTCGCTCTGCTTGCCGTGCTCCCACGCGTCCAGGCGCTCCTGCAGGATCGAGTTGGTCATGAAGTCGCGGATCTTGTGACTCCAGCCGGCCAGGGTGGCGAAGTGGCGCGAGTGCAGGGGCAGCAGCCAGGGGAGGAAGTCGGCGGCGTAGCCCTGCGGAAGGAGACGTGGCGTGAGGAGTGTGCACACAAGTGCAGGACACTACTAGAAGGGCATGAGACGCAGCTGTACCTGGTTGACTTCGTCGAAGATGCGGTCGAAGTTGTGGATCATGTCGCGGAAGCTGGCGTCGTCAGGGTTGAACCGCTTGCTGCAGAAGTACGAGGTGAAGACGTTGGCGCAGGCCCCCAGCAACAGGGGCTTGGCCTCCACGGCCGCGCCCGCCCCGGCCGCGTCCAGCCGGCTGCGCACCGCGTCCAGCTCAATGCCCAGCAGCGAGTCCAGCTGCGTCCAGCGCGCCGACATGGCGCGGGGGAAGGTGTGGGCGCGCAGCATCTCGCGGCGCGCCTTCTGGACCGCGGACCAGTCGCAGAACGCCAGCGCTGTGGACATAAAGGGGGCCGTCAGGGAGGGTCGTGGGGCTGCTGGAGGGATGGAGTTTTGGAGGTCCGCGACGAAAGCGCGGCGGGCGCGCTCGAGCTGCAAAAGACCACCCCTCTCCGTGAGAACGCCCCCAGCTGTGCCCGTATAGGACCCCCAACCCCAACGCAACGCGCCACCCCTACGCGAGTCTATACCCCGCGATGTCGTCGACACCCCACGGTCCTAACTCGCTACTCCGTGAGCAGCGCACATTTGCATCTCCTCAGGTAAAGTGATACACCGCGCCGGACCGGGGTGAGGGCGAGGGCTGTGTGCGCGAGGCGCGATGGGGCCCGCGGCCCGCGGCCCGAGGCGCTGCTGCTGCGCCCGAGCATTTTCAACTTCAAACGCAGCCGAGCTCCGCCAACTGCGCTGTGCAGATGATAATGCTGATGGTTGTGACACGATTCGATTGACGGACGGCTGGACGGGAGTGAGCAGGTCATGCTAAGTGTGTCACAAGGACTGGACAATGAGCTGACTGAGAAACTCCATTTCGCAACGAATTTGAAAGAGGGCTGCAGGTCTCGCCTCGGAGGCATGTACGGCTGAGGGGTGTAGCGATATTTCAATGACGGGATTGATCCCAGATGGCAGGTATGTACTTACAGTTCTCTTTGTCGCCGCAGAAGAGTTCGTGGTAGCGGCGGAAGTTGGGGCGTCCGTCGAACTGGGCTCCCTTCGTCACGATGACTTCCTTGATGTTGGACAGGCCGTTGACGACGACGCACGGCGCCGAGCCGAGGCTGAGCTTGAAGACGCTGCCGTAGCGGTTGGCCAGCGGGGTGAACGCCTGGTAAGGCACGGCGTACCCGGCGAGGAGGTGGAGGTTGCCGATGATGGGCCAGGCGTGTGGTCCTGGTGGCGCCGGCAGCTCGTCGCCGAACTCGGAGTCGAGGAGCTTTGCCTTGGCGGCGGCGCGCGCCTGTCGGGCGCGGTCGGCCAGGAAGAGGACGGCGACCACGGCAGCGGCGCACAAGAGCAGGGAGGTAGACGCGCTCACAGCGAATAGGGATTCCATTTTTATCAAAATAATAAAATCACCGGGAGGAATTGAAAATTTAAGTTTATCAGCACACTTTAAAACCACTGTTTCTTGAGAAAAATTCTTCGTTCTTGAGTTACTTGAAATGTTATTTTAAAATTTTTGTGGTGTTTTGGTTGTGGTGTTCTTTTTTGTTGTTATGTTGTGAGCTGAGCGAGAGGTATGAGAATCTCTACCAGCGCCAGGAGTACTGGACAGCTAGAGGCTTTCTCAAGCTCTGCGCCGCGGTCCTCGACGCCATCCCTTTTATAGGGCCCGAGGTGGGCCAGCCGCAGCGTCGGCGCGGGGCGGCCGGGTCGTCGCGGTCCGGCGGGGGGCGGGGCGGCGCGGGTCCTCATATATTATGAATGCCGGCCGAACCAGGCTCTCCGCCCCGCCGCCCAACGCCACCCCACGCCCCGCCCGCCGACGGCATGCCACGCCTTCGCGTCCGTTCCATGACTTTTAGGGGGGAGGCTCCCCATTGCATTGCAGCCTCCGACTCGGTGCTCCACATGCCGCGGGGGCGGTGGGAGGGCGTCTTCTTCGTCCTCCGTCCTACCCTTCGCCGGCTTTGACATAGCTCTTGGTCAGCGGGTGCAACCTCTCGGACAGGGGGCGAAGCTGTGTTTCGTTTCGGTTATACTGCACGATGCAGCCATGCGGGCGGGCTTGGCTATGGTAGAGTCCTATACTGGACTATGGCTAGACTATGGCTATACTACCGCTCACCGAGGCGTCCTCTGGCGCCGAGCTAGCGGGACAAGCCACCCGCCCTGAATGTGGTACAGTATAGCCACCCATCCCCCTGAAAGCACCCTTATTTTCCATACTTTCTGATGCACAGTTTTTCTAGCCCAGGTGGCTTGTTGACGTTTGGAGGAAAAGAGGGAGAAAGGGGCGCTCGGGCGCTCCAAAGCCCTCTTGTCCCCCGTATCGAAGTCCGTGTGGGGCTGTTACTCGTGTTTCTGTTGTATCGCATACGTGAGGGCACTTCTCTGCCCCGCACGCATGCAGTCCAGGATAACTACGAAATACGCGTGTGGGGTGGGTTTCAAGCCAACTAGCATTTCAATATGGTGATTTGGTGACGTAGAGTAATCAATCTTGGAAGGAGGACCCCAAACATGTTCGCGATCTCTTTGTGTGCCAGACACGCATTTATTTTTTCAGAGTACTAACCTGCCGTCGGTGACACGGTCGGGCATAGCAACCGAAGAACGTGGGCGAGGTCAATGTGGGAGCGATGGGATCATTCATGACACGAGCAGCGGGGAGGGAAGGGTGAGAGGGGAGGGTGAGAGGGGAGGGTGAGAGAGGAGACGAGATGGAGAGGAGGGACCAAACTGCGGCTAAGGACCCTCCCCCTGGCTATAGCGTCTGGGTAAATTAGTATTTTTAGACAATCCCGAAGACTGTCTCTACCAGAATGCAAATGCAAAGTGCCCCCGCCTTTCCGCGCTCTTTTCCCCTCTACCTCTAGGTTCGGGGGTTGCTTGGATGGGATGGAATGGGGTGTAGCAGGCGGACGGTGGGTTGGGGTATCCCAAAATGAAAGTTTGAGCTCGACTTGGGCATGGTTGCTAATCCTCGGATTTGGGCCAAACGGGGCTAGTTTGAAATTTGTCCATCCTGCATAAGAGCCGCGTCCGGTCCAAATCTGAGATGGAACCACACCCCATAAGTCGTGCTCCACCTTTCGTATTGGGACACCATACTGTGCGTATTTTCAGGTGTTTGAGACAGTCCCCAAGACTGTCTCTACCAGAAGAGATAGTGCCCCCCCACGCTCTTTTCTGCCGAGTTGCCGAGCTTAGAGCCACATCGGCGCTTGGGCTTTGGGGGTTGGTCTTGAGCAGGCCACGATTAGGGGTACAGAAAGTACGTCCGTCAACCGCCGTTACGGAATGACCGAGTTCAGGCATACAAGCTCTCATGGCGCCTGCTAGGTAGGCAACATCTTACTTACAGTGCATGCGTGTACTGCGGGGTGGCCTATCACGAGTGTCGCAGGCGCCGAGCTCCCGTATTTTACCAATTAATCTTGAGAATAACGGACGTACTTTTTGGACGATGCCTTACCACGCCACCGCTGTGGTACTGTTTTGAAGCTTCTTGTTTGGACAGTAGCTATATGAGCTATACGGTGGGCTGCACAAAAAAACTAAGATCGGAGTTTCTTGAAATGGTTGAAGGGACTGTCATTTTATGTGTAACACGGATCCGCGGATCCGCGCTTAAGCAAATAAGAGGTATGGGATGGGAATCTTTGTGTAGGGGTTTGGGGCGATATTCTTTATTTTTATATAAGATGTTGATGCTGAGCTATCTCAGGCCGGCCTAGCCAAACCTTTGGGGTAAATAAAAGCGCCAGGAGAGTCCCCGCAAGGCGACAACATATTAAGTCTGAAGGCAATGGCCTCCTCTCATGAGATTGAACCTTCTGGCCAGGTTTAGGCAGAGGGCAGCAGCAGGGGAAGGTGGTCAAAGGCAGAAGGAAAGTTTCTTTCACGACCCAGTCCGTGTGTGGCGGAGGGACTCCTTGGCCTTGGCCTCTGTCCTGCTGCGTCCTGCTCACGCCAGCCAGCCCGGTGACAAATGTCCTCCTGACGTGGCAAAAGTCTTGCCGGAAACATCGGCATGCACGTCATGTCCATCGCAAAGCGAGTGAGACGCAAAGCGAGGAAGTGCGTCCAGCCAGTCTGCGTGAGAGCAGCACCCGCGCCACGCGCACGCACCCCGCGCCCGCGCGCCCGTACCGACGCAGTGCCCGCCCCGCCCCTCTTCCTCATCATCCCCCGCCCCCGCCCCTCAACCAAGTTATAGGACTCCGAGCCAAGTCTGTTTGGAAGAGATACCCACCATCGGTTTCGAATGAGATGACGAATAGGGTATTCCCAGCCCGTAGAAACTCCCACTGTTCGGCTGATACCATCATCGAGCGAGCTCCGCGGAGCCGTATTTTGCAAACGTTATAACAAACGAACGGGAGGGTCTTTAGCTCTGAAACCTTCTCTCTCGTACTCGTAATCATCGTCTTCGTGGCTTAGGAGGGTGGTCATACCTTTACTCTTTCGCAAACTCGCAAATTAAACGATAGTAAAATATGGGTGGTATGAGAAATTTAGCACCAA